GATGTTTCCGCAGAATCTGCGGGCACCACAGATTCTGTGCACACAGAATTTAATTGAAACAGAATTTCCACAGAATCTGTGTTCTGTGCACAGAATGCAGAATCTGCGGACAATTGAAATAGGCCCCTGAGCGAATTCGAGATTCGACTTGGACCGTCTCGATTTTGAAATGGACTGTTTTTTGGACTGGATTTTTAAACTTTTTTTGGACTGTTTTGATTTTAAATAATTCCGAGATTCGAAATAAATGAAAGTGAACTCATATTCTGACCCTCCACACGAGTGCCTGTTGGAAAACAAAACCCACAAATGTGAAAGAGTATTTCTTGCTTTTTCTAGGGACTAATAGAGCAGAAGATACCCAAGAAAAATTTCAGAAATTTTTCTCTTATAATTTTTATTTTTCTTAATGATTCCCCCGTTTTAGGCCCATTGTGTTCACTCTTGGGGCAATTCTTTTCGTCCAGATTATTTAAAATTGGCGGAATTGATAAAAAGATTTAGACAAACTCAAGAACGTTTAAACACCACAAAAATACCAATTATGGCCCTAACTGCTTGTGATTCTAGAGATGAACGGGAGAAAATAAATAAAATTCTTGGAATGGACAAGGATTGTAGTCGACAACTTTTGTGAGTTTTTTTGGTTTATTGGGAGTTTCTACAAGAGTTCGGGTCATTTTACCAACAAGCGAGGTTGCGAGTTGTTCGACCTAAAAACGGTCGAGACCGGGTTCATTCGTAGAGAATGTGCCCTTTCTAGCTTTTTTGAGCCGTTTTTGCCCGTTTTTTGATCTGGCCAGGATCTGGCACATTCTCTATCGAACGAGCCCAGTCTCGACCGTTTTTAGGTCGGACACCTCGCAACCTCTCCTTGTATGGTTTAGGTCAGTGGGGTTTCGGGACTCTGTTATTTTTAAAAGAATCAATGTTCCGGGTTCTCAGGTTTTATTTTAGCCTGGAAATCCGTGCTTTGATCCACGGAAAAATAGGTATGCTCAAATCACAGCTCGTAGACGTAGAAATTCCTAACTGATGAATTTTATGTAGTTGAAAAGTCACCTTAAAATTTTATTTTTTTTAAAGATTCAAAAGCATAAAACAACGTAAAAATCTTCAATATCAAGTTTTAGACAAAAGAAAAGTAAATGTGGAAGAATTAGTTAATTATTTTTTTGAAAAGTATCCTTCTGGTGTTGGAATAATTTATTGTTTGACTAGGTTTTTCAAGTTAAAAAATTTTTTAAGAATTAATTTTAAGGTTAGAATGTGTCAAATTGGCAAAATTATTTGGAGATTTGGCACGCCCTTATTATGCTAAAATGTCAGAAAAAAGAAGGCAAATAAATCAGGATAAATGGATGAATGGAAAAATAAGACTTCTTTGTGCTACTACAGGTTTTGTTTATTTGATTTACTGGTATTTTAAAGGATTCTTTTGAGAATTTTTAAATGGCATTTTTGTAGAATTAATTCTTGTTTTTTAATTTTAATTCGGGGTTGCAAAAGCATGGGCCTTTTCTCAGAATTTTATTTTGTAATATGTCCAGGCAGTGCTGGTCGAGAGGATGAGTGTGGGCCTTCGGAAAAATTTATTGGGACGCCTCGGAAGATTTGCCCAGGAATTTTCAAAAAATCTCAAATTCGCCTATTTTCGGGGACGGGGAAATACTTTAATGGGCATGGTGAAATACTTTGAACTTCTATTTCAAAGAACCATGTCTTATCCACCTCATATTCAATAAATTTTTAACATCACACATACAACTAATTTTAATTATAAATTTTCTATTAAGCTTTCGGAATGGGTATTGACAAAGAAAATGTTCGTTTTGTTGTTCATTATTCAATCCCGCGTTCTTTGATGGAATTTACTCAAGAGAGTGGTCGTGCTGGAAGAGATGGAGAGCCTTCTGAATGTATTCTTCTATACGATTTTAATGATCAATTTAGAATTTTAAGAGAAATAAAAGGTTTTTTTGAACAATTTTTTTTTAAATTTAATCGAACCTCAAACTTCCCTAATGAATAAGGTATGTCTTAAATAGTGGGGTAGCGCTTGGCAACTCCTCCCCTAGCAACTCCTTCCCTCTTTTTAAAATTTAGACTTAGGGCTATTTTGTGTATGCTGTATGATGTATTTTATAAGAGTTCTGATCAGCCACATAGCCCGAGAGAATTTTCGGAAGGGGGTGAGGGGCATCTTGAAAAATGTCTGTGCCAGATCCATTTGAAAAATTCCTAACTGAAAATTTTCGACGAGGCAGCTCTATGGGGGAGGGGGACAGAGAAGCTTAAGGAACGTCACATACCTATCTTGACTACGTACAAGGGCGTATCCAGGGGGTCGGTTTCGGGGGGGGGGCTAACACTGGGTGGGCGCAAAAATTTTTGGCGTTTACCTTGGCGTTCCGGACACAAATTTTTTTGTACATAAATTTTCATCTTTTCTGCGCCGCAGGCGAAAATTTTTTGAATTTTGGAGGCCGTAGGCCAAAAAATCACGTTTTCGGCGCCGCAGGCGCCAAAATTTTGATTTTCAGCGCCGCAGGCGAAAATTTTTTGAATTTTGGACCTCAAGAGGCCAGATTTCTTCCTTTTTTAGCGCCGCAGGCGAAAATTTTTTAAATTTCAGAGGCCGTAGGCCAAAAAAATTCACTTTTTTTGCCCCAACCCTTCCTCAAATTTTTTTCTTTTCCCCATTTCGGGGGGGGGGGGGGCTCTAGCCCCCCCCAGCCCCCCCCCCCCTGGATACGCCCTTGACTACGTACCTTAAAAATTTGACTGTATTGAATTTATTTTTAAATTAAAAAATTTTTAGAAGGATTTGAATCAACGTCTTTCAGACAAATTAAATTAAATAATCTTTTAAAAGTATTAAATTATTGTGAAAAATATTGTGATGACTACAACAAAAATAAAGAAGAACAACATTCTTCAATTTTACCTCCAAATCGTTTTGCAAAAATTAAAAATTTAATTGAACCTTTTAATGAAAAAGAAATTAATATTGTCTGTATTATATTGGAGAAAATTGATCAAATTGGAAATGTTAAGCTGAAAAATTTATTTCAATTTTTTGAACAACAAAATTATTGTAGTGAGGTTTGAGGAGAATTCATTATTTTATAAAGGGGATTTATTTTTACTTTTAAAAAGAAAATTTATTTTTATATTTTCCCTTACTCCTTCTTGGTATTGTTTTTTTTGAGTTTGATTAGGTGAAATATTCTGATGACTATAACAAAAATGAAAATAATTTTTCAGAAAAATTTTGGGAACGGGAATTTCAAGAAATAAATTGCTGATTTTCGGGAATCAGGTCGCTATATCCTTGGGGATGGAATGGAGGTGTTCATAAAACTGGGGGGGGGGGTGTACGTACCAAGGATTTAGCTGACCAGATTTCCGAAGATAGAGAATTCCTGACGTTTTTTTATATCGGGATCTTGAGTTGGAATTTATTTCTATGAAATTCCTGTTCCCAAAATTTTTTCAGAAAAATAAGGGATTTGGGTAATTTTTTCCACCATCTTTGTCAGTTAGATCCCTTGTACAAATATTAAAAAAATTTTTTCAGATTAATTATGAAAAAATAATTCGTCAAATTATTTTGTGTGGTTATTTACGTATTTCTTTATTAACAAATTCATTTAAACGTCCATTACCTTTATTAAGTATTTCTTTAAAAGGATTTGCTTTACTTGAACAATTTAAAATTTTAATTGAATCGAAGGAAGAATTGATTAAATTAAATAAAGAATTGGAAGTATATTTAATTAAAAATAATAATGAAGTTGAAGAAGAAGAGGAGGGGGAGGAAGGAGAGGAATTAGCTATTAAATTGACTAATAATTTGGATTTATTAGACAATTATTTTGTTGAGAGAAACTCTCGTTGTTAAAATAAATCAGGCTTGGTAAAATACAGATAAGTTCGAGATAAGTTCAAAATGGCTGCGGATATCCATCTGTATCCACCGTAAATATCTGGATACGAATACCAAAATCCATGTCCATTACCAAGTCTGGTTAAAATAACTTTTTTTGTTGTTAACAGTCAAAACCTTATTTTTAAATACTCTCCTTTAAGTGTTGAAAAAACCTAGCTTATAATGTGGGGTATCTTAAATTTGGGTATCGCCTAACAATACATACTAAATTAAGAGTTACTTTAAATCAGGGGATCTCAAATTAGTGGTATTGCTTGATTGAAGGAATTCACCAACCTAGTATTGTTGATTCAAGTAAAAAATCGAATCTTGGTTAGGGGGTTATCTAATTTTGGGTGATACCTAGTATTGAGATTTGACTGTATTGTTAATGTTAGTTGTAAACTTCTAGATCAAAAGTTGGTGACCATTTAATGATTTTTTCTAAAGTGGTCTTCCTTTTAATTGTTATATAGAAGATTTTTATTTGAATTTTTTGAATAAATTTTTATTTTTTTTTACAAAATATTTTATAAAAAATATATTTAAGTAACATGTAATTTAATTAAAAAATTTTTTTCTAAAATTTTATTAAGAGAATTAAATATGTATTACTTGTGAAATAATTACACAAAGATTGTTAAGTGGCTGCTATACATAAGTGCATGCATCACAGCAAGTACTATTTAATATTTTTTCTTTAACTACTGAATGACATAAGGTTGCATGTTTCCTTCCTTTTATTTATTGATTCTTACTATTCTTTCTCCTACTTGTGACTGATCTTTCAAAATTACTAGAAAAATAAAAATTTGACCATTTTGGGCTCTGACCATTTTACTAAAATTAAAATTTTAACGGACCCAGACCCAATAAAAATACTTCTGTATTTATAAAAATCAGTCTAACTTATACAGCCTAATACTGATTCTAATAACTAAACTCAAATGAGTAAGGATGGCGATAATGTGCCCAACTTTGAAAAGGTTTCTTCAAAATTAATTTTTTTGCCTATAAACTTGCTTGAAAAACACAACTTCCCTCAATAACCCCCCACTAATTTGAGGCAATGTCAGAATTTTCTGCCATGTTCCCTGATTTGGATAATCAACTGATTGAATCTGTTCTGAGAACAAATGATGGAAATGTAGAAGAAACTATAGAAAAATTGTTGGAATTAAGTTGTACAACAGCCAGTACTTCTGGTAGTGATAAAGTCTCAAAGGGCAATGAAATTAAAAATGAGCCAAGCAGGTTTTGATCTTTTGAAATTCACCTGTAGGCACATCCTTCTGAACCCTTTTAATCCCTCTAAAACCGATATTCGCCTTAGTCCTTAGATATCCTTCCAAATCCGCTGATATCTATGCAAATCCTTCGGTGTCACTCATAAAGCCCTTGATATTTATCCCTTCAAGTCCATCGATATCACTTTTAATTCATATAATCTCTTGATCTCCCGTCTAATTCTGAAAATCAATTGGCCAAACAGAGGGGGGGGGGTTAAGGGGGCTGAACTGGTGGCAGGCCGAACTGGGGGTTTTTGTTCGAGGCTGAACTTAGGGCGTGACTTTAAGAGATCGTACTTAAAAATGATATTCGCAATTGTGTTCCTTCAAAAAAATTTTTTTAAAGAGCTGAACATGGACAACCATCAAGTAGAGACCCATGTGCAGATGACGAAAAAATTGCCTTGTTAATTCAAAATCGAGAATTTCTGAGTTACCTTCGACATGACCCCAACTTTCAAAAGGCTATTATTGGAAGACACCAAGCTTCTGCCAAAAATGCCCACCATTACCCACTTCCACATGGCCCCCCTGTTTTGTTGTCTTCTTCAAAATCGTCACTTTCCCCAAACAACCATCTTTTTAATAGAAAAGGAAGAAAAGAATGGGGGAATAATTATCCAGATAGGTCAACAACAACAATCAAGAAAGTTGAAGAATTGAAGCCAGCTATACCTGAAGGACCTCTGATTGGTTTGAATATTTAGCTTGATTAAATTTTATGATTGACCAGCTTTATTAGTGCTATAAGGACCATATAAGACATTGCCTCAATCCCTTGAGTATGTATCAGGAACGGACTGGGTAGAGAAGAAGTTGAGCAGGATTTCGGATCCGGGTTTCCAAAAATTCTTTGGATCGGGAATTTGATTCCGGATCGAAAAATTGTCTGGGATTAGAATTTCGGATAACCTGGCAGTCTCTGGTATGTATAATATTTTTGGACCGCTAACCACTTGGTGACACCTGTCGTTGATCCAAGATCAATATTAGTCTATAGTCCTATAAGCTACAAGGACCTATGAAAAATAAATTCTGATTGGGCACGTGATTTAAATCAATTAATTTTAGAATATTTAAATGCTGGAGAGTCTACATGGTCAGAAAAAATAAAATCCAAATTGGCCAAAAAAGCGCCTGATGGAAGTGAACAATTACCAGAATCTCCTTTAGTTAGCTATACTGACGAGCAAATGCAAAAAGGAATTCAAGGATTTTTAACGAGGGGAGGGCACAAATTAATTGAGAGTTTGGCCAGAAAATTTAATAATAATACAAATTATAAATAAAATTGTGAAAGATGAAGTTAAGAGAAAAAATTATTATACAATTTATTCCAAAAATTATATTGCCACTGTCTTTTTTTAATACTTAACAGCTAGTTGAATGACTTAATAAAGTTTTATAATTTTTTTTTGTAAATAAAGTTAAAGTCTAACTGGGATATATCTACTACATACTTATCCTTCAGCTAATGCAAAGGAGAATGTGTAACCAGTCCTTATATGTAAATACTCCAACCACAAGATTAGAAGTTTTAGGTGTTACTTAATTTATCCAATCCGGCTTTATCGATTCAAATCTCTCAATATTCATTTTCAGCCATTTGAATTTCGTTATCAAACTTTTAGAGTTGTACCCCGACCCGAACCCCGACCAGAAACAATTGGAAAACCCCGTACCCCGCCACATCCACCCCCGAGCGTTCGGGGTATTCAAAAAGCAGATGAGCTCTCTACTTTTAGTCGACTACACTAGTGCGCAAAAGTTGGTAGAAAAATAAGCATTCAAAAAGCATTAGTGTACTAATTTAAAAGTTTTAGATGTGTAAAGCATATAGCTATTAATTTCCTAAGGCTGTGCAGTAGGCGGCGTGGTGTAATGGCTAACACATCAGTCCGGCCTACTGAAGATGCTGGCTCGCTCCCAGCCGCCGATTAACCTTTTGCACTAGCTAAAGGAGAGAAATAGCTATAGCCCTTACTGATGTTATCATATAGTAGATAGATTAGATTTTGAAAAACTCCAATGATTTTGAAAAAATAAAAAAATTAAATTCAATATTTTTATTTGCTCTGACAAAAATTAGGAACAATAAAGACAAACTTTTAGAATAAATTTTTATCCAAAAAAGGAAAAAAAAACTTTTTGTTTGACTAAAATTTTTATTTTTTATTTATTCATTCTCGTTGTTAAATAAAAATATTATTTTTATTTAAATATTTTTAAGGCTATTCTTTAATAAAAAAATTTTTTTTTTCTAAAATATTCATAATATTCTCCGTTCCGAAAGTTTGTTTTAATTGTTCCTAATTTTTGTCAGAAATACACAAAATTTGGGAATATAAAAATACTTGTAGAATTTATTCAATTATTCATTGAAAAATAATTTTAAAAAATATTCTCTAGTTTATCTATTAAATTAAAATCAAAATTTAATTTTAAATAAACCCTTTGGGCTGAAACTAATGTTTTTTTCCTTATATTAAATATAATCTTAAATGTATCAATTATTTGTGCCGGAGATGGGCGCAATAAATTTTGTGTTATTTTACTATAAATTGGTAAAAAAATCTCCATTGCCCAACACACCTATTTGAGATGGGCGATCTTTTCTAGTTTACCTATACTCCTTATTTTTTCGATATCTAACCGGAGGGGCATTTATTTGATTAAATATGCTAAGCATTAGTGGTGAGCTGACTTGCTTTACAAAAAAACAAATATTTTTTCAATTAAAAATTCCAATTTTAATTTTTCTACAAGTACATAATGTAAATAAAGGAAGGAGGGTTTTGAGCGAGTTGAAATTCTCAACCTACAGGGCCCAGTATTCGGGGGTTTTCTCCTTTATCCTGACCCAAGCTAAACCCCGAAAACCCAGATTTAATCAAAATACCCTACTTCCGGGCTATAGAAAGAGTTTGCAAAAGTTTAGCCACCGGGCAGGCAGGATTCGAACCTGCGACCACCTGCTAGTTGTTGCTAGGCGCTTTCGCTCACTATATGCAGGAGCTTTACCTCAGAGCTACCGGGGCATCGACAAATGCTTTCTCTTTTTCCTTTCTTAGATCGTTTAACCCCCGCCTAAGCGTTTTAAATGCTGCTAGGTGAATCATCCTTACACTATTACGCCTGGAAACATACAGTTTCGAGTCTCGACCCGGTGTCTAATTGTAATTTTTAGTTAATTTAAAAAATTTTAGTTATAAAATTTCAATAATTTTAAGATAAATTTTAAATAAAAAATTAAAAAATATTTTCTTCTAAAAAATGTCTCCTTCAATTAATATTTGTCTTCTTTTTATTTTCTCAACTTTTATATTAATTGAATTAACACACTGCTGTAAAGGAATAGGTGAAGCATGTACTAGATATGGACTAAATGAGGATAATAAATGTTGCAAAGACTATGCTTGTAGTTTAAGCAATTCATGCATCAAATGTAAAAATAAAGGGGAATCTTGTCAACAAAAATCAGATTGTTGTGGTGGAGCAATATGTGCATCTGAATCATATACTTGTGCTTAAAGGAAAAGACACAGTTCCGAGTTAATCTGAAGAACAGAAAATTACATTTAAAAAATGTTGAAAGAAAGAGCAATTAATATTTAATTCCTTTAATCTTTTCTTTATACTTTTCTTTTTTTTTGATAATTTCCTTTCGTTTTTCGTAATAATTTATTTAAATAAAAATAAATGCGTGCAATATAAATTTAATTTACTTGACGTCTTAAGAATTGGAGCTCGGCACGGGGCGGGACCCCGTACGGGATTTTACGGGATCCCGTCCCGGAATCCCGGGTTTTTAGCGACAGACGGGATTACCGGGATTTACGGGATTAATCCCGCGGGATCCCGTCCCGGTCGAATTTTGAAAACCCAAGCCCGTTCCGGGATCCCGGGAATGCGATTTTGCCGACCTCAATTGAGTATTGTCAAAAGATATTTTAGTTTTTAAATTCCCTTTAAATCTTTGGAAATTGAAGCCAGAGAAAATCCTTTGAACTGTTTTCGATCGAAGTTGCCTTTGAGAACAAACATAAGCCCGAAAGCAACGCGGTGCTTTCGGGCTTATGTTTGTCAGAATAGCAGTACCTCATAAGATACTGTATTGTCTCTAATAGAAGCCCATCTCCAATAGAAGCCCTTGCCCATATAGAAGCCACCCAATGAGGGGTATTGAAAATTTCTGCCCCTTCTCTGCCCAGGGCTTGTATTAGAGACAATAAGCTATTCTGAATTAAATTTTGTTTTTAATATAAAAAAAGAAAAATAGTATATTTTAGCAAAAAAAATAAAAATTTAGCCAAAAATAGAAAACACAAAACTTAATTTTTACCTTTAAAATTTGGTAATTGTTTAATCCTTAATTTTTTGCTATATTAGGGTATGGAAAGGAAGATAAGGGTAAAAATTGAAAAAAATTTTTTTTAATAAAAAATCCAAAATTGATTTCTAAATACACAAGTATGTGTGAATAAACAATGAATTCTAAATTTTAGCTAAAAATTTAATTTTCTCTTGAAATTGCCGTTTAAAAATAATAAAAACAACAAAAATAAATACACTCAAAACATAAACTCTACCACTAAAGTATCCAGCTGTTTAAATATTTTATTTAGATAAGATTCGAAGCTAGGAGGGGAGATAGCTTGAAGTTTAAGTATTTGGAAATTCGTAAAGTGAAAGTGCATATTAGACCAAATAAATACAGTTATGTTGAGTTAGGTAATAAATCAGTCTAATTAATTAATTACTATTTTAAATGTATATTTATCAATCTTGGACCATAATTTACCTAGATAACACAAAATTATATAGTTTGCCCTAAGTGAATTAGGTTGATGAATCGTTAAAAATTACATACCGGACCAAGATCGAAAATATTGGATATCGAGGTCGAGAATACGACAACACTCATAGTCTCTACGACACTCATAGTCTGACACTCCCAGTCGTACGACACTCCCAATCCTGTCTCCAATTTCGTAAATATTATTTCTGATGCCTATCCGACCCGTTTAAGAAACTCACACACTTTTCACCTACGCATCCTTCAATATTGTTTCAAAATTTCAGAGTATATAAAATTAAATAATTAATCTAATTAAAGAATTAATCTGTAATAAAATTAAAATATTCAGAATTAATCTCAATTTAAAAACAAAAGATATTCGAATATACACAGTAATGTCATCAATTAATATTTATTGCCTTCTTTTTGTCTTCACTACTTTTTTAATACTTGAATTTACAAATGGTTGTGTTCCACTGTATAAAGAAGGTTGTACTTCAAGGAGCTGCTGTAAAAATTTACATTGTACACGTACTTTTGCCATAGGAAGAGGAACTAAACGTCCAAGATTTCAATGCCTTCAAAGCTTTTGCTCAACTAATAAATGTCTTGCAAAATTTGATAATTGTTGTTATCCTAGGAAATGTAATTCTCAAGGTCACTGTGCTCTTTGTGAACTTCATAATGAAAACTGCGATCACGATGATGATTGTTGTATTGGGGCCTGCAGAGGTGGAAAATGTACAAAATAATACGACTTGAGATAATTTTTAATAAAATAACTTTTTTTTTGATGGACGAAACTTGCGGACCGATACGGAAATTTAAAAAGCAGCCTGTTAGGCTATGTTTTTACTAGAGACCGGACTGAGACCGAGATGTCGATCAGAAATCTGGATTATCGAGATCGAGAATTTTTTCGAGATCTCGAGTCTCGTACATTTGTTCGTATTCCCATTCCGGTCTCTAGTTACCAATCTTCGACAAAGAGACGAAGATTGGTAATTAGAGATCGAACCCTGTCTCATCCGTTTAGGTTATCGAGGTCTCGATTTTTGTGAGACCCTCCCAGTCCGATTTCTAGTACTTACTAACAGGCTAGTTTGCTGACATTTTGGAAATCTCAAAAAGTTTTTATGAAAATTAAAATGTTCGGTCCGGAAGCTTCTTCCAAATTTTCTTTTTATTTTCGTGTCATGTTGTCGGTTTCGAGCAAAAAATTGTTAAATCGTCGACCGAAAATTATAGTTAAAAAATTGTTGATGGGATAAAAGAACAAGTAATTATAATATCTTTTCACTACTATACTTTTATTTCTTTCCTTTTTTTGTTAATTTCCTTTTATTTTTTCGTAAATTTTGAATAAAAAATTAAAAAAAAATTTTTTTAACAAAAAACCAAATGAAGAAAAATTAATTATCACTCAGAGCAACAGGTCAGGACAATCCTCATTCGTGATTTGATAAATTAAATACAGCTTCTTGAATTTGTGAAGAAACCAAGAAAAAATCTTCAGTCTTTGAGGGTTTTCGAAAGACTTCTTGAACCCTCCTTAATCAACAAGAAAATGAGGGAAGGTCCTTGGTTTCGAAAGATTCTCTGAAAACCTTCTTTTATCAACAAGAAGAAATGGGAAAGAAGTCTGTGGGCAAAAAATATTCTCGACAACATTTGAGTGTTTCCAAAATTTTTGTTTATGGCAAGCTTATAAGTCTGGAAAAAATTTTTTTAAGTCTAAAAAAATTATTTTTCCCCTCAGATTATCTCATAAATATTCTACATACATATAAACTCTTTTAATAATTTTAAAAACTTTTTTAATCTTTTTTGTTGAAATTTTAATATTCCCTTTTTCGAAATACATTTTTAAAAATATTAAAAAAAAATTTTTCTTCTGTTCTTTCAACCCTCCTTTATCCATTCCCAAAGGGTTCTTTAAAGCTACATTTTCTCTTCCCTCACACACATTTTGTCAATCATTCTCTCGTTTATCAATTTTTAAATATTTAAAAATATTCCATCAATTTTAGACTTTTTAGTTTTTTTAAAAAAAAACTAGCCTCGTAGCCTTTAGGGAATTTTTTTTGACAAAAATGGAAATTTGTGAAAATTTATTTTTTAAATTTTAAATTTATTAAATATTGGTATGTATTTTATTTTTTAACTAGAAAATTGAGGTTTTAAAAATCTTCCTTTTTTAGAAGTTAAATTGAAATATATGTAGTCGGTCCTCTATTTTATATGCTTCCTTAATGCTAAATAAAATGTATATAATATAGAGGGTATTGCTTAAGCATCTCACCTCTAGTGTTGTCCAGCCAGACCTTAAAAACGTATATAAACTCGACTGTTCTGAGACGTCTTCAAATTTTGAGACTTGGAGACGTTAATTTTTCTGATGGTTAATAAATAGAGCCCCACAAAAGAGCATACAGCCAGTGTCTGGAAGCCTGTACCAAAATAATGATACTCGTACCTGTTTACGAATACAAGTACGAGCAATTTTCAAAATTCCTAACATGCAGCCCCATAATTTAGAAAGTAATGAAAATTATTTCCAAAGAGGCTCTATATTAAAATATACCAATAAATTAAAGGGGGTAAATAAATTAGAGGGTTGATTGTTTATTATAAAGTTTTAGGGAAAATCTAAAAGAATTTTTTTGAAAAAAAGTTTTTTTTTAACTAAGCTAATTTTAAAAGACACCCAATATTGCTAGACTAATTTGTAAGAGACGTTTATTTAAAAAGAATTTTTTAACAATTAAATATGACTAATTATTCAAAGTTTAGTTTAGTATAACATTTACTACTTAAATGTCATTTATTTTTAACTTGAAATATTTACGAGAGAAGAAATGTGTGTATCTAACAAGGAGCATGGTTTAGTCTCGTGTCTCGTATTTTGTGGGACGAGGCCCATCCCTGGTATTTAGCTAGACTTCTTTTAAAAATAATTTTTGGCTTTTTCACCCAACTATTTTAAAATTAATAGAAAAAGAAAAATTTGTTCTTTAATTTGTCTTTTTTTTTAATTAGAAAGAATTTTCAATTAATTTTCTAGTCATCCATGAACCTTCTTCTGTTCATCCCCCCTTTTTTCTTTTCAATCCCCCCTCCCCTCTCTCACATGCTTGGTCACATATCCAAGAGCGTATTTAATGCGTCACCAAAAATATTTTATATCAAATCCTTTTAATCTTTTTTTTAGTTTTTTAACCAAAACACATCAAAAAAAACATTTTTTTACTTTATTTTCCCCAAATAATGTTAAAAGGAAAAAAGCCTCCTCTAAAGGCTGTCTAAGCTTTTAAACGTTTTTTTATTTTTTTGCTTCGTATTTTTTTTCTCCTTTTCGTCATCCATTTTATTTTTCTGGCATTTATATAGGGCTGTTTGGACGTGGAAATTTTTGTAGTAATTTATGGGAGGGGGTTTAGAAAATATTTTTTAATTTATAGCTAGTAGAGGGCCTCGGCAGAATTACGAGTTCCGACATTTTCTTCTTCTAATTTCCGATTTCCAAAAATTTATAATGATTTCCGAGTTCCGAATTATGACATTTATACAATTTCCGATTTCCCCCAGTTCCAATTTCCGGCTCTTTCGCCATTTCCGACCGACCTCTAATAGGTAGTTAAGTGGAATTTAGTATGGCCTTGTTCAGTAGGGGCAATGAGAACTTTAAATAAATTATTTTTTAATTTTTACTACTTAATATTGGAGGTCACTAGTTCGAGTCAGCCGGGGAAATTAAATTTTTAAATCAGCATTAATGATCTTTAAGACCCCTAAGAATTGTTTCCAAATGCTCCGAAGTTTTCAGAATAGTTAAATAAGACAACTAAGCTTATTACAAACAGACCTCACTATAAGATACACCATTGGGGGTGATGATATCGTACCTTATAATGAAGCGTATCGTAAATAGAAGGTATCGCTTGGGCAGCTCCCCAACTTAGCAGTTAACCAGATTAAAAAAACGTCTCTTAAATAGAGGGGTGTCTATTATTGGGGGTATTTTACAACAAGGTCCGCGCCCAAAAGTTTCCCGCGCCCAAACATCTACCCAAATATTCCCATTGTTTCCTCCCTTTGTTTTGTTATTTAGAGTTTTTTTTTGTTAGCCTTTAGAAACTAAAAACTGCTGTCATTTGCCATCCTTTTTCTTTTTGTTAAAAAATGCTAAACACTATAACATATTTACAAGCTTTTGTGTCCTTTTATTCTTTCTATTTAATTGAAAAAATTAAATTCTTTTATTCTTTTATTTTTTAAATTGTCTAGTTTATTTGTTAATATTTTTAAGTCAATTATATTTTTTGAAAAAAAAATTTTTTTCAAGAAAAAATTTTTTTGAAGAAAAAAAATTTTTTTTACTCCATATATAATTTTATATTTAATAATCTTTTAAATTATTATTCCCTTTATTCAAAAGAAGAAAAGAATGAATAAAAGGTTTCCGGAAATGATATTCATTTTATTTTTCTCTTTCCGGAAAAATATGAGAGAGAGAGAATGTGTGTTTTAATTAACTTTTCCGGAAGTGTTCGAAAACAAAGGCTTTTATAGTCTTCGGTCTTTTATTGTCTTTTCTTTTAAATTTTTGTTTTCTGTGGATTTCTTTGAAAAATAATTTTTTTGATGTGTTTTGGTTTAAAAATGAGAGGAGATTTTAAAAGGCTGATAAAGCAATATTTTTACTAGCTAGTGAAAAATTATTGTGTTTTGAAGGAATTGAAGGGAGAGAGGGAATTTTTAAATTTGAGTGTTTACTTTTAAAAAAAATATTTTTATTTACTTCCCCTTTAAGATAATTTTCCAACTGTTCAAAAAATATTTGAAGAAAACACCATTTCATTTTTTAAATTTTTATTTTCTTTAAAATTCTTTAAAAATTGCTTGCCAACAACAATTACAAATGACTGCAGTTGCGCAGCAATTTATTTGCAGGCGGTATCTGCTAAACGATGATGGTAAGGGGTTGATTTTTAAAATTCTGTGGGATTTTCAAAATTATCGAGAAAGGTTCAAACGACTATTAGAATTTTGAAAATAATCTGGGAAGAGAAATGGAAGTTGAAAATTGCTCGCTCCAAACCGACAAAAAATCTGGAATTCCTGTTTCCTGTACCCAAAAAAATTGGGAAAAGAGTATATGAAACTTTTAAGTTCCTATCTTGTTTCAGAGAGGATCAAAATGAAATGGAGTCTATTGGTAAATGTCCCTCGACATCCCTTTGCCCCAAAGGGCATTCTGCAAAAGACCCCTTTCTTTTAATTTAGGCTCGAGTTTCAGATCGAGAAAAAGTCAAGATTTCTGGTACCTATCCCTTTTTTCCCAAACTTTTCACTATCTTAAAGCCATCCTAAGACCCCCCCCCCCTAAACCCATCCCCTAAACCCATTCCTTAAAACAAAAATCAAAAACACAAATTCAAACACAATATTTATTTAGCAATACATACAACATACATATATTATAATAGAGCGCACAAACAATATACAAATATACATTTCAAGATATGGTATATATACAAAATAGGGTAGTAGTATAATACTCCCAATGCGCGCAAATATATAGGAAGAAGACATATTATATGAGGGAAAAGGGAAGAGGAAAATAATTATGGGGATACAATTTAGGTAAATGTTGAATTATTTTAGATATATTATCCTATCACAATCATCTTCACTTCTCCTCTTCTCTCCCGCTCCTCTCTACTTCTTAGACGTTGCCCCTGCAGCCTTCGATGTCGCTCCTCCCTTCGTTGTCCCGGCAGCTTTCGATGTAGCACCGCCAGCAGTTGTCGCTCCGCCGGTTTTGGCTTGCGTCCCTCCAACAGTAGTCATTCCGCCGGTCTTTGCTTGGGTCGCTCCAACGGTCGTCCCACCAACTTTGGTCTTGGTCTTCGTACCTCCAGCACCGGTCATTCCCATTTCCATTCCCTCTTCTTCTTCACCTTTTCCGCGGAGAACGAAGAACCAGACAAGGCCACCAACTACAGCAAGCCTATAATTTTATTTTGAATGTAATTTTGTTAAATAACCCAAATCAAAAATATAAAACTCACAGGACTACAACGGCGATGACGATGCCAATGATGAGAACCATGTTACTGCCGGAAGCTTCAGTTCCACTAGATGGACCAGATGTGGACGTTTCAACAGAAGGATCAGTGCCTCCATCAGGACCAGATGTTCCACCAGGAGGCGTTGTACCAGGAGGAGCGCTACCACCAAACTGTTTGAACCGGCTACCACTCTAAAATAAATAAGAATTTTGTAAACAAAATATTTTAAATATATAAAATAAATTTTACCAGTCTGAGGGACATCTCGCACTTTGGACCCTTGTTCCCATCAAGCTTGTTGCCAAGTTCAATGTTTTGTCGATGTGACGTATGCTTGGGTACAATGTGCAATGGCAGAATGTTCAGCGTGAAGAGATATTTGAATTCGTCCTTATGCGTCTGGTCTGTGATCTCCCATTGCTCAGCCTTGCGAAGAACCTGTTCAGTGTGGCAGTATTTGTCTTCCTTATCGTAGTCCAATGCGTTCCCTCCGCAACCGTGATCAGACGACACCCGCCATCCTGGAAACGCTTTTGGATCGAACTTGATTGTGATAGACGCGGTGCTTTCGGCCTTATTTTTCCCAGAAGCGCAGTACCAGATTCTCGGCTCACCAACTAAAAAATTAATTTGATTAATAATCAATGATTATTTTCTTAAATGTTCAATGATATTTATTTAAAACTCACGGATGTGCACGTTGTAGAGAATCATGTCACCCCTTCGTCCAAAAGCAACATCGAACTCGGTCGCTACCAGGCATCTTCCGAAACGTTCGTTCACACATTTTTCATGACACGCAGCGTCGGCACCTTTTTTAAGCCCTTCTTTCACCAGATTTTTGAACCCTTCTTCCGGCAGACTGAAGGTGAACGGAAACCTAAACAAAAATTATATCAGGTCAGAAAAATTTAGCAATGATAATTCACTCACAAATTATCGTCGCCGACCCTCTCATCCTTAACGCCATTCCCTTTAGCCACAGCGTCCGTCAAGCATTCCATCAGATTCCCGGTGACGGAGAATTCCAGCTGGATCCCTTCGTTCTTCGTGAGCAGATCAATGGAGCATCCTTTTGTCGCATGTGGCTGTCCCTTTTTGTACTTGATGATCCTGTAAAAAATTAAAAACAAAATTTTTAAAATATTTATTTTATAAAATAAATGTGCTTACATATCCCCGTTTTTCCCCTGTTCAACAGCACAATCAGTCCCGCTGCCTGTGCCCAGCTTTATGATCTTGTTGTCCTTCCTTTCATGCTTAGCAAATCCAACCAGGTCGCACCAGACAACGCATTCGAGCAGCAACAGAGCGACCGTGAGCAGAAGAAGAGCACGCGAAACCAGAGCCGATGTCGAGGCCATCCCGTTGACGCTTGAAGAGTTGCAGCAGCGCTTCCGCATTACAGGTACGTCGACGAACGTAGATGAAGAGAATTTGTTGTAGACGATGATAGAAGATTGATAGTTGTGTTGTTAAGGGAGAAGAAATGATGGCGTTTTTATAGTGTTCCTCTCTCGCGGAAAAAGAGACTTTGTTGTGTAATATAAAAGCCAGTCTCAACATCAGTCTAGTTGGATCATACTAGCCCAGCAGTCCGGCAACCAGTGCGCGTCAACTGTTCGGCAACCAGTGCTCGCTCGTCAACAGTCCGACAACAGATCGTCTACAGGCGTGTTCAGATCGACAACAGCAACAGTGGAGACTAGTACTTAGTGAAGTATTGTGATGAATTGTAGTAAATCGCTTATTGCAATTAGGGAGGTGGAGATTGGATTGTAAGTGTAGGAACATCATAGTTAGTGATCGGCATGAGTCGAAATTGAATTGTAAGTGTTGGTGGACTTTTTGTGATAGTGACTGGAAGAGGACTTAGTTTGAGTGCGAGTGGTTTAAAGATAGAGAGGTGTTGCCTAGTGGTCCTGAAGGTCTGAGTTTTAAAGCTGAATTGTGAATCATAAGTGATGCTTGCCGAGAGCCGATGCTTTCGCCACCTCTACTTGTAGTGAATTGAGCGCCACAGGCGAAAATCTTGAGGATTCTGGAAGGCTAGAGGAGAAAAAATGGCATTTTGTTCTAAAACCTTCAATAAAAAATAAAAATCCCCGCAACACATTTTTAAAAATAACCTTCCTCGATATATCAAAAACCCACAAAATAAGGAAAAATCCACATATATACGAGTCCTGAAGTAAAGAGAGGGAAAATGAGTAAAATGCATAAAAATGGCTTTTGCAGGATGCCCTTTACATAGGGACGTCGAGCTTGAAATTTCCTAGACACTCCTCGGTTCACATCAAGGGAATTCTGAGTTTTCCCACATGTTTAATTTTCTCAAAATCTTAATAAATCCCCCAATTAATTCATTAGAATTATCCGATACTTTTGATTTACTCGATTTGGACAAGGATGGAAGATTAAGTCGAAATGAGATTGCGGCTTTATTGAGATCTTCGGCTAAGATAGAACCAACAAGGAAAGAATTGGATTTTTTGTTTAGTGAAATGGACCATGAAAGTAATTTTATTTTGAATTTTCCCAATATTTTTTCTCTTTAGATTCCGGAAAAATTGACAAGCAATCATTTGGTAGGTAAATAAACTGAACCTCATTATAATTTACACCCTTTGAATTAAAAATTGTACCGTTTAATGAGGTGTATCTTAAATAGAGGACATCGATTAGGCAGCTCTCCCATCCAATGGCTACCCAACTGAAACGTATGTATATTAAGTAGAGGGTTATATATCTTTATCTTATACAGTCGAACCTCACTATAAGCACTAAAGATATCCTCAATACTAGGTAACCTCTATTTAAGGAACGTTTGTTGAATATTTAGCGGACTTTGGTTGGGGGCTGTTGAAAATGCTGTTGAAAAATTAAAACAAAGAAACTTAAAATTAGCATAATTGACTCCAGCATTTGTTAAATTAGCTGTCTAAGCGATAACCTCTATATAATGTACGATGTTTTCAGCCCTAAAGGTGACCTTGTAATGAGGCCCGACTATATTAATAATATTACAGTAACCTATCTTCGTTGCCCTCTAATCAATCGAATAACGGTTAAAGAACTTCGTAACCAATTTAAAGAAATTGCATGGAATGGGGACGGTTCTATTACAAAGGGTAACACAAAAAAATGCTTAACAAAAAAATTCTTCTAAAAATTAAATTTAGAAGATCTAAGTCACATTTTAGCAAAAACAGCAGACTTGAAAGATGAAAATGCTGTTGAAGTTTTATTTGAAACAATTGACCAAGTATGAGATAAATTAATTTAAAATTTTTAAATAATTTTTAAAAGGATCAAGACGGAAGAATTTCTTTTGAGGAATTTATCAGAATGATGCGGGAATAAATTTTTTATGAATTTTATATAAATAATTTTATTATGGTCTCTCTATTAATAAATACACTTAAATATTTTAATGCTTATTTTTGTAGTTTTTTTTATTAAAAAATATCTAATTATGTAGTACATACTTATTTAGTATGTTTCTTTAAAATTGACCGTTTAGCTAAATGGTAACCGGTATACGGTAAACATGTTTGGTAAAATTAAACGGAACGGTATAAGGGTCTGCCCAAAATTTTAAGACCGCTTTTTTGCCCAAAATTTTGGCCCAAAATTCGATGTCGGACCGGACCGGGTTTCCACCCCTAATGGTCAAGCAAATAAAATGTAACTTTATATAAAAACGCAATATAAAAATACGTGATTGTAAACATTGGTTGGATATTTCTTTTTAAAAAATTATTTTAGATAAAGAATCTATTCCTCATTTCCATGCTGATCATCCTAGAAGAAAATCAAAGTCTTCCGTTAGAAGAAAAGAACAACTTGATAAAAATTTGGATTTTAAAATGGGGGTTGCTTGTTGTGAAAAAATTAATTATATTATTTTTAAATACTTTTTTACGTGTTCGTTTTATGATTTAAATTTTTTTAGGCTTTTAAGCTTCTAAACATGTTTTGACGAGAGTTATGATTTCTCCCTTTTTAATTTTTAGTGCGAAAAGTGAGTATTTTTACTCTGCTGAACATTTTGAAATGGAAATCCGCGATTTCTGTACATTGGGACGAATCCTTTGTTTTTGTCCAATGGGACGTATTTAATAAAAAAAACTGTCCATCAACCTTTCATCAACCAATAGGTCCACTAAGTTACCCTCTAACTTAGGCCATTGGCACTAACACTGGGTCCTTTTCACGTCCCTTCACGTCCACTGCGCGTTAACAACTCAATTTCGACTCATGCCACTTACTAATTACGATGTTCCCACACTTACAATCCAATCTCTAACTCACGTCAAGCAATTCACTACACTTCGTCATAATACTTCACTAACAAATAAGTACTATTCTCCACTGTTGCTGTTGTCGATCTGAACACGCCTGTAGACGATCTGTTGTCGGACTGTTGACGAGCGAGCACTGGTTGCCGAACAGTTGCCGTGCACTGGTTGCCGGACTGTTGACGAGCGAGCACTGGTTGCCGAACAGTTGACGAGCACTGGTTGCCGAACAGTTGACGAGCACTGGTTGCCGAACATTTGACGAGCACTGGTTGCCGGACTGTTGACGAGCACTGGTTGCCGGACTGTTGACGAGCACTGGTTGCCGAACAGTTGACGAGCACTGGTTGCCGAACAGTTGACGAGCACTGGTTGCCGAACAGTTGACGAGCACTGGTTGCCGAACAGTTGACGAGCACTGGTTGCCGAACAGTTGACGAGCACTGGTTGCCGAACAGTTGACGAGCACTGGTTGCCGAACAGTTGACGAGCACTGGTTGCCGAACAGTTGACAAGCACTGGTTGCCGAACATTTGACGAGCACTGGTTGCCGAACAGTTGACGAGCACTGGGGATCAGGGACTTGCTGGGCCAGTATGATCCAACTAGACTGATGATGAGACTGGCTTTTATATTACAAAACAAAGTCTCTTTTTCCGTGAGAGAGGAACACTATAAAAACGCCATCATTTCTTCTCCCTTAACAACACAACTATCAATCTTCTATCATCGTCTACAACAAATTCTCTTCATCTACGTTCGTCAACGTACCTGTAATGCGGAAGCGCTGCTGCAACTCTTCAAGCGTCAACGGGATGGCCTCGACATCGGCTCTGGTTTCGCGTGCTCTTCTTCTGCTCACGGTCGCTCTGTTGCTGCTCGAATGCGTTGTCTGGTGCGACATGGTTGGATTTGCTAAGCACATGAAGGATAACAACAAGATCGTAAAGCTGGGCACAGGCAGCGGGACTAATTGCAAGTACGAGATGAATAACGGGGACATGTAAGCTCATTTATTTTTTAATAAATTTTGTAAACTTTTTATTTACAAAACTTTTTATTTTAACAGTATCATCAAGTACAAAAAGGGCGAGCCACATGCGACAGAAGGATGCTCCATGGATTTGCTCACGAAGAACAGAGGGATCCAGCTGGACTTCACCGTCACCGGGAATCTGATGGAATGCTTGACGGACGCTGGAGTAAAAGGAACGAATGAGCTGCACGATGAGAGGGTCGGCGACGAGAATATGTGAGTGAATTATCGTTAAATGTTTTATTCTTATAAAAATGTTGTTTAGGTTTCCGTACACCTTCAGTCTGCAGGAAGGACGTCTTGTCGATTTGCTAGATAAAGGACCTAAGACAGGTGCTCCCATTGGGTGTTCGGTAGAATGTAAGAGTGAAGGAGCAAAAGGCCGTTATGGACAATGCCTGCTATCGACCGAGTTCGCTGTTGCTTTTGGACGAAGGGGAGACAAGATGCTCTACAACATGCACATCCGTGAGCAATTTAAATAAATAAACAAAAATATTTTTATCTAATCAAATTAATTTTTCAGTTGGTGAGCCGAGAATCTGGTACTGCGCTTCTGCAACAAAAATGCCCGAAAGCACCGCGTCTATCACAGTCAACTTCGATCAAAAGTTCAAAGGATGGCAGGTTCCGTCTAAGCACGGTTGCGGAAGCCAGAGCGCATTGGACTACGACAGGATAGCTCAATCTAACATCTACTGCACCAATCCTGATGTTCTTCGCAAGGCTGAGGAGTGGGAGATCAAGGACGAGGCGCATAAGGACGAGTTCAAATATCTCTTCACGCTGAACGTTCTGCCACTGAAGGTTGTGCCCGCCCATAGTGTCAAGATGCAAGCGCTCGACCCCGGCAAAAGGATTGATGGGAACAAATTTCCAAAGTGCGAGCTGTCCCTCAGACTGGTAAGGTTTTTATTGATAAATTTAAAATATTTTGTTTACAAACTTGTTTTTTAGAGTGGTAACTGGTTCAAATTGCTTGGTGGTAGTGCTCCTCCTGGTTCAAAGCCGACATCTGATCCCGCTGGAAGCACTGGTCCTGATGAAAGCACTGCTCCTGTTGAAACTACAACTACTGCACCACCATCTGAAGCTTCCGGCAGTAACTTGGGTCTCATCATTGGCATCGTCATCGCCGTTGTAGTCCTGTGAGTTTTATATTTTTGATTTGGATTATTTAACAAAATTACATTCAAAATAAAATTATAGGCTTGCTGTAGTTGGTGGCCTTGTCTGGTTCTTCGTGCTCCGCGGAAAAGGTGAAGAAGAAGAGGGAATGGAAATGGGAATGACCGGTGCTGGAGGTACGAAGACCAAGACCAAAGTTGGTGGGACGACCGTTGGAGCGACCCAAGCAAAAACCGGCGGAATGACTACTGTTGGAGGGACGCAAGCCAAAACCGGTGGAGCGACAACTGCTGGCGGTGCTACATCGAAAGCTGCCGGGACAACGAAGGGAGGAGCGACATCGAAGGCTGGAGGGGCAACGTCGAAGAAGTAGGGAGGAGCGGGAGAGAAGAAGAGAAGTGAAGATAATTGTGATAGGATAATATATCTAAAATAATTCAACATTTACCTAAATTGTATCCCAATAATTATTTTCCTCTTCCCTCATATAATATATCTTCCTATATATTTGCGCGCATTGGGAGTATTATACTACTACCCTATTTTGTATATATACCATATCTTGAAATGTATATTTGTATATTGTTTGTGCGCTCTATTATAATATATGTATGTTGTATGTATTGCTAAATAAATATTGTATTTGAATTTGTGTTTTTGATTTTTGTTTTAGGGGATGGGTAGGGATGGGTTTAGGGATGGCTTTAAGATAGTGAAAGGTTTTTGGAAAATGGGGATTGGAAGGGTTACCAGTTGGACTTTTTCTTGATCTGAAACCCGATTTGAGAAATTTCCCAAAACTTCTCCTTCAATTTCCTCAAAAACACTTTTTTCAATGTAGTAGAAATTGCTGATGTCGATGATTTTTCCTCTGACTTGTCTTATAAATTAAACCGTGTCATATCTGAAATATGATACGCCCTCCCTTTTTGGAGGTTTTCAGGAATCAACCCATACTCAAAATTAACTGATATATTTGTATTGAGTTGATAGAGAATTGATTAGATTACTAGAAAAATAGATTTTTTACTTTCGAAATTTTTCAAAAATTTGATGGCGCTAAAAGGAGAAAATTTTAGCTTCCAAGACCTTCCAAAATTCAGAGACTTGAAGAAATATTCTCTACACCAAACTTGCCTCGAAATAAAATTGAAAAGTGCCGACAATTTACAAGAATGGCAACATCGACAATAAGGTATCGAAAATAGAAATTCTTGACTCTAATCATAATTTAACAACATTCCCCCCCTTCTCCTTCAGTCAAGAAAAAATCAGGGAACTTTAAAAAATGGCTCGACCGACTTTGGATCCAAGAAAAATTGATTTAGACAGGCCGACTCTAATTCTCGAGTGAATTTAAAAAAAATATAAATTTTTGTTAACCAGAAAAATCCTTTTTAATACAGAAAAATAAAAAAATGAGTAAATAAATCTTTTTTTGTGGTAGAGACTTTTTAAATTTTTTAAATAAGGAAAGTTGACATTTTTCAAAATAAAATTTAAAAAAAAGTGCCCTTTTTGAATTCTTTCTTCTTTTTTAACTTCTTCAATTTTTCTTCATCTTTTTTGCGATCATTTCTTTTGCATATATGATTCCAATTCCATATCCAATTCTTCTGCAGTTTTTGTGCGCAATTTTGTTGCTGATTCAGCAAGTTTTTTGCCAAGTCGTGCTGAAATATTTAATTTAATTTTTTATTTATTATTCCGGTCAGCAGCCAAAGGAGCCCTTCTGAAAAATCATGGTTACGAGTCTGCCTATCAGGCATGTCCCCAAGGATTAACCCTTGGGGACCTAGTTAAAGTATTTTAATATAAAATTAAAAATGAGAATCAATACTAATCAAAAAAAACAAAAAGAAACCTTTACGTCCAGCAGCCCCAGCTCTAACACCAATAACCTTCTTTACACCTTTACGGCGTATTGAATTCCCTGAAACACGGCGAAGACGATCACGAATACTTGGTTTTCCACCAGTCAAAGAAGCTGCTGTAGCAGATGCTCCGCTTTCAGAAACAATGCAAAATTTGATTTCTTGACCTAATTAAAGAAGTGTTTTAATGTAAAATTAAAAATAAAAGATTTTTAGGGAGAGAAAAGACCGATTTCTAAATTATTACAAGGAATGTGTCATTAAAGATTAATTAATTTCCCGACTTAATATATTTCTAGTGACCCAAATACCTATTTACATATGGTGTCGCTGGCAACTAATGACGCAGAAAAAATTTCCCTCTTGGCCCTCCTCACGAAAAAATCCTGGTCACCGGCCTGCAAATATGTGTTTCCACATTTTGTGTGTAGGACAGAGATGTCACGGATTGTGCAGAAGTCACGCCAGGTTTCGGGTTAACAAAAGTCCGGATATCGAGTAACCCGTAAAATCGATTGTGCAGCGGAAACTACTTAAGACTCCTAGAATCCCATTAAAGTCCCGGCCGTATATGAAATGAATGCGGCAATCAAAATTTTTCCTACTCCCCATAATGGTCAATTTTTCAATATTTCTCTCTATATTTGATTTATGCCGAAGGGAAAATACACTCAAACTATTACAGCAAAAGGATTATTTTTCTTTAATTTTGTGAGCATTTACTTTTTTTCTGTCCGATGTGTGTGCGTGTTTTGTCTGTCCGAGTTCGTCCGTGTTTTGTCTGTTTGTCCGAGTTAGTCCGTGTTTTGTCTGTCTGAGTTCGTCAGACAAAACACGGACTAACTCGGACAGACAGACGAAATACAGACGTACACGGACTGACAAACCACGGACGAACTCGGACGGACACGGACAGACAAAACACGGACTAACTCGGACAGACAAAACGCACACACATTGGACAGAAAAAAGTAAATGCTCACAAAGTTAAAGAAAAATAATCCTTTTGCGGTTATTGTCTCAAGGCACGTATCAGAAATAGAGAGAAAAATATAAGAAAATTAACCATTTTAAGAATAAGGAAAAAATTTGATTGCCGCATTCATTTCATATACGGCCAAAGTCCCTATACACTCCCCCCGTCCCCTTTCATTATTAAAAAAATCAACCATCAATAGCAATATCCTTAAATTCTCGAATAATTTCTGCAGCAGTTTTTTGATCAGTGAATAAATCGGCTGTGCCCAAATGATTTCCCATCTCATCATAATGAACAGTAACTCCATAACAATTGTATTCTTGAAAAAGCTCCTTAAATATAAGGCTTTTAGTTTTTAATGATTGAAAGAAATCCTTTGAAAATTCTGTGGGCTTCTTATAATTAAACACAAGTCGATGAAACAATAAATTACTGCAAAATCATAAAACACAATTTTTGTGAACAGCGACCCCAAAAAGTCATTTAAGAGAGAGAGAACGTTGTGAAAATTTGAGGAAGGTTTCTAATCTTTCATGATTTTGTTTTTGCTATTTTTTGCTTGTAATTTATCCAGGAATGAAAATTTGGACGTCGGAGGGTTAGAAAAAGTCAGTTGAGCCAACCTGAAAATTGAATAATGAATTCAGATTCCATTAAAAATGGTACTTGTGGGTTTCCCAAACCGATTCTTGCGGATCCATTTATATATTAAGGGTGGTCACTTTCATTTCACTCTATTACCCTGCGGCATATTCCATGGTCTTTTCGTTTTCAACAATTATAAAACCTTATCTTATTGTTAGTTCAACAGGGAATTGGAGTGAAATTAATGAAGTCAGAACATTCTGTGCATACAAACTGGTCTAGGATAAACCACAAGTACCAAAAAATTAAAAGAAAACCTCCAAATCCGAAGTAATAACACTCTCAGGCAAACTCAAAATCTGCATTTTAACCATCCCACTCTGACCGCTTCCAACAGCTTTTCGAGCTAAACGAGCACCAATTCCACCCCCAGGTTTGTTGCTGCGAATAGAAGCGAGACGAGGAATTTGTTGACGCTTTTTTCCACTCAAAAGTCCAAGAGCTTTAGCTGCTCCTTTTTTGGCTCCATAAGTCTCAAAATATTTGTCATGCTTCCAACGGCCAGCTGGGACTTCCTTTAAACAAAAATTGTGTTAGAAAACATCTTTTAAGAGGAAAGCTTACTCCAGAAACAAATCCTCTTTGTGGGAAACGAGTCCTAGCACTTGTACGCGGTCCTTCACCAACAGCTGCTTGAACAGCTCCAGCACGTGTAATACGTCCACCAGCTCGAACTCCGCTTCGCTTTGTTGGTTTGCTTTGACTAATAATTTCGTCCAATGCGAGTGCCAAATTTGCTGCCATTTTTTAGTAAATTAGAGAGAAGATAGAGAGTTTAAAATTTCTGTTTAAAATAAATTATATTAAAACAAATGTCAGTTAAAAATTAAATAACGTCTAAAAGGCAGTCAAACGTTGAGTTAAAATAAATTTAAAAAATTTTACAGACAAAGACAAATTTTAATAATTTATTATAAAAACCACGTTTCAAAGAATTTCATGTGATTCTAGAGCGCCTTTCGAAATTTATTTTACAGTCAATTAACAAGTTTTGCCATGGTGACGAAAATTCAAAAAAAGTGTGTGTATTTTTGAGAGAGTGGGAAAGAAAAAGAGAAAATAATTTTATTGAATAAATTTTGGTATTTTGTAATTTCTCTATTTTGTTTACATTTTGAAAATTACAAAAATATTTCAAATTGGAAAATTGAAAATTGGGTAAAGCAATAATGCCAGTTTTCTTTCCTTTTCATTCTAGTTTCTGTTTCACCTGTTTTTTAGATAAATTTTTTTGTTGAAGAATGGCTAATCGTACATCTCGTGATGCTCATACAGTTAAAGGAACAAATCCTCAATATTTAATTGAAAAGATTATAAGAACTCGTATTTATGATTCTATTTATTGGAAGGAACAATGTTTTGGACTTTCAGGTTTATATTTTTTGAGGATTTTTTTTGTAAAAAAAAAATCCTTGTTTTAAGGATTTTTCCCCTTTATCCTTGTTTTAAGACTCGACAATTTTAATTTGGTTTTTGGTTCATATGGTTGCCAAAGTCGTTATAAAGTAAAATTTGGAGGGCATAGAAAGAGGACTTAGGAAGTTCAAAATTCCCTCTATTCTTCCGTAATTTTTAAATTCCTTGTCCATTTCACAATTAAAAGCTTTTCAAATTTTTTCAAGTCTTAAATATTTTTTTTTCTAGCCGAAACAATAATCGATAAAGGGATGGAACTTCGCTTTATTGGCGGCATTTATGGAGGCAATATTAAACCATGTTTGTTAATTTTTAAATAAATCTAATATTTTATCAATTTCAGCACCTTTTCTTTGTTTAACACTCAAATTGTTACAATTACAACCTGAAAAGGATATTGTTATTGAATTTATTAGACAGGACGATTTTAAGTATATTTTTGAATTTTTTAGAAAATTTTTAAAAAAATTTCTAAAAATTTTTAAAGGATTTTTTGATTGACTAAATTTTTTCAAGATATATTCGAGCTTTGGGAGCAATGTATATTCGTCTAACTTTTAATTCTGTGGAAGTCTATAAATATTTGGAACCACTTTACAATGATTACAGAAAATTGAGATATATGAATAGAATGGGAAGTTAGTTTTTTTGAATTTTTTTTTAATTTAATTTAATAAAAGTTATACTTTAGCAAAAATTTTTATTTTTTCCGAAAAAAAATAAATCGACAAAAATTATAACACAGATTTTGGTAATCAAAATTAAAATTTTTCTAAAATTTAAATATTATTTATTTCCAAAAATTGGCTAAAATATCTTTTATTTTTTTAAAAATTGAAATTTTTATTTTTTAAATTTTTAATAATGGTGTTCACTACCGTTTACTAACCGGTACTTCCGATTTTCGGTTAATCCAAATTTTAAAAACCCTTTTTCGGTTTTGAATTTTAGACAAATACCGATTTTATTTTGTGGGAATTTTTTTAAATTATTAATTTTTATGAATTTCCGGTCTATAAAATTCTTAATTTTTGGCAAAAAAAGTCAAAAATTCCGGTTATAAACCCAGTCGTGGACAACCCTAATTTCTAACGTAAAATTTAATTTTTTCTAATTTCTCTAGAATTTGAACTTCTCTATATGGACGATTTTATTGATAATTTAATGAGAGAAGATCATTATTGCGATATTCAACTACCTCGTTTACAGGTTTCTTTTTAAAAATTTTAAAAATATTTTTTTGTTTTTTAATCAGAAAAGACAAGCATTGGAAGAAACAGATCAATTAGAAGTTTATCAATCTGCTTTGGATGAAGATTTAGAAAGACTTTCATCTTCTGAGGATTCTGAAGACGAGCGTGACCGTCGTAGAAGATCCAGGCCTAGCGTTAGTTTTGTTAAATTTGTTTAAAATGAGAATATTTTTGGAATTTTTTATGTCCCACTTCCTCACTAGTCTCATGTCATATTACTTTTTTTCATGTCAATTTTTTCAAAGAGGACTTAAATAATTTTTTAATTCATTTATTTATTAGTACCTATAAAAACTTGTTTTTGTTCTTCTGAATTCTATTTATGGATATAGAAAACACAAGCAATTTGAGACTCAAATAGGGGAGGTTAAAAAAACCAAAATATTTGAAGAAGACTTTGCTATTTTTTCTGATTTTGCTTGACTAGAAAAAATTTTTTCCTTCATTATTCTCCTTATATCACAAACTTTGTTTGGATATTCAAAAAATAATTTTTATATTTTTTAAAAGAAAATTAAATAAATTTAAAAAAATTTTAGATTGTCTCGCGTCGTCGAAGCCGTACTCGTAGTCGATCTAGAGAACACAACAGCAGTAGAAGTTATGCAAATCAAGAAAGGGAAATTGAAGAAAGTAATGCAATGAGGAAAAAGTTGGGATTGGCTCCGTTAGAGCGTTAAAAATAATTTTTTTAATTTACAAAAATATTTTTTGAGCACTATCGTTCAACTTTAAAGTATAAGGGCATATTTCGTTCTTTTTTACACCACATAATAAAGAAGTTTTCTACCAAAGCTAATCAGTTGTCTTAAGACTTGCTCAAAAATAGAGCTTCACCGAAAGTTCCGGTAAGCTCCGACGAAATTTTTGAGTTCCGGGATCCGGAACCTATTTTGGATTCGGTTCCGGCCAAAATTTCGGTTCTGTGAAACACTAAAAATAATATTGGGAAGGCTAAAAAAAAAACTAAAAAACGACTGCTGAAAATTAATATAAAAATTTTATTTTTAAACAATAAATAAAATATTGTACAACAATAAATTTTGATAATTAAAAACAAATTTTGTTTAAAATAAAAATATTTTTTCTTTACATCACACTCAAAACAAACTTCGAATGAGGCCAATTGCCGCTCCTATACCTGCTCCAACTGCTGCTCCAACAGGACCAGCAACTATAGTTCCTGTTGCCGCCCCGCTCATAATTCCAGTCGCAACATTGTCGACCTTTAATAAAAATTAAAATAATTAGTAAAGAAATGAAATTTTGCAAGGTCTATAAGTTTTGAAAGTTATAGAAATTTTGAAAGTTTATAGTAATCGGAATTGCGTGCCGTACTGCATTCCGTATTGCATTCCGTAACGTATTACCGCTAATCCTGTTAAATATAGATAATTTTTTATCAGTACCATATTACGGTAGGAAAAAAATTTTCGGTGTAGTATATACGGAATACCGGAAAATACAGCTGTAGTAACGGTGCTGTCCGACCGCTAATTTTCACATAACAAAATTTAATATAAAATTTTACCGTTTCTTTCTCGGTAGTCATATTAAAATAAATTTTTTTGTTTTTAGAAAAATATTTATTAAAAGTATTTTTATCTAGATTTAAAAAGTGATACTTTTCGATATTTACATCCTAATTAATAACCTTATAAGGGGGTTATGCCAAATTACTCAAAATGAAGCCTAGGCGTTTTCAACCTGAACCCCTATGTATGTGCTACATAAAAATGGAAGTGGAATTAATTTGTTTGAATTAAAAAAAAGACAAAAGTTAAAATTATTAAAATTTTGAATGAAAAAATTTAAAAAATGAATAAGAAAGAAAAAAAGATTTTAATTCAAAAAATTATTTTTTTTTTCAATTTTTTAAAATATGAAAAACAAGACACGCCCATAAAAAAGATTCTAAAAGAAGTAAACAAGTTTTTTTTGTAAAAACAGAAAAAAATTTTCAATTTTTTAATAAGAAAATAAAATAATTTCCATCCCCATTGATATACTAAAATTTATTAATGTAATAATATTTTAGAAAATTTAAAGAAAATTATTTGAAGAAAATTATTTATTTATTTATTTATTTACACCACTAGGGTGTGACAGTCAAAAATAAAACAATTTAAAGTGAAATTACGAAAAATAAAAATGCTAATAAAAAATGTCCTTAAAATAAAAATCAAAGCAGCTTAGCAAATAAAATTATCTCATTTGTCATTTAAGATATTGGAAATATCCAACTGTTCAAGAAGTTTAGAAAACATTTTGGGTGTATTTTTTTTAATTTCTATAGGAATTAGTGAATAAATTCTAGCAGTTCGAACAAAAAAGGAGTTGTACCGAATCATGGTTGAACAACGTGTTGGTTGTATTTTATATTTTTCGCCCCTAGTTTTTGTTTGTTTTATGATATAGGAATTATTATGGTTAATTTTAATTTTCCCAAATATATTTTGATGAAATAGCTTTAAATCAGCTTTAAGTCTTCGACTTTCAAGGGATTCTACTTTGAAATGTTGTAAAAGTGTTTTGTATGGTGGAATATCTTCTATTTTTACCTTTGTGATTCTTTTGTAAACAAATCTTAAATATCGTTTTTGTATGTTTTCTATTAATTTAATGTTTTTCTTAGTTAAAGAATTCCAAACCGGTGACCCAAATTCTATAATTGACCTTACGTATATATTAAATGCTTCTATAAGAATTTTAGGATCTTGTGATTTTAGAGATTTAATTAATGCATAGCAGTTTCTATTGGCCCTTAGAGATATTGTTTGAATATGTTTATTAAACTTGAATTTAGAAGTGAAGAAAATTCCGAGATCCCTATTCTTGTCTTCATTACTAATTTGGAATATTTTGTGGTTTCCTATTGAGTATTGTAATTTAGGGTTTGATTTACCTATATATAATACTGAGCATTTATTTAATGATATGTTGAGACCATTGGTGTTACAATATTGAATGAATTTATTAATAAATAATTGTAAAGAATTGTTAGATAAATCGGTTTTTTTTAGAATTTGATAGGCTTTGATGTCATCGGCAAATAATTTTATTTTTATTTCAGGAGTGTAACAGAATGTTGGTAAGTCCGATAAGTATATATTAAAAAGGAGCGGGCCTAAGATAGATCCTTGCGGAACTCCACTAGTAATAGAGAATTGTTCAGAATATTCATTTCCTATTTTAACAACAGATTTTCTGTTGTGTAAGTAATTAGAGATCCATTTTAAGAGTGATTTTTCAATTCCTATTACTTTTAGTTTTGTTAAAAGACGTTCATGGGGTATAGAATCAAAGGCTTTAGCTAGATCGAAATAAACTATGTTTATTAAATTTTTATTATCCAATGCAAATGATATATCATCTTGAACCTCAATTAGTTGGGTAGTGACGGATTTGTTTGGTCTGAATCCATGTTGACAATCTGGTAATATACCATTTTGTTCAACATAAATTGATATATGGTTTGCAATAATTTGTTCAATTACTTTTGTGATTGAACATAGTAATGAAATTGGGCGAAATTCTTCTATTTTGGGTATCTTTAATGTTTTTGGTATTGGTATTATTATACTTTGCTTCCATATTTCAGGAAGTGTTGAAGTCATTAATGAATAAGAAAAAATATAATATAAAGGATAATAAAGACTTTTAGCGCATTTTTTAAGGAATATACATGGTATTGAGTCATAAGAAGAGTTAGTTTTTTCAGGTAGCTTAGAAAGAAGATCAAAGATTTGAAGTTCATTTATGATTACGGATTGACATGTATTTTGATTTGTTATAGAGTTTAGATCTGCATTGTCTAATGAATTTTTATTAAATACAGAACTAAATTGGGTACTTAGAATTTGTGCTATTTTATTATCAGCGTATACTAATTGATTATTTTTATCCAAAATTGAAGTTATTTTCCTGTTTTTGGATTTAAGAAATGAAGAGATGTATGAGAATTTTTGACTGATAGTTTGTGTTTTATGCTTTTCTCTATTTTTTAAAAATTTGTTAGTTTCAGAATCTATTCTTTTTGATACATATGAGATTTTACGTGTTAGCTCTGGCGTGGATTTTTGTTTCCACAGATTTTTTAGATATAATGTCATTTTTTCAATGTGTTCGGGTTTTTTGAGATTGTTAGATTTTACTTTAGATTCGGGAACAAAGGAACAAATAACATTATGTATAATCGATTGGAAAGTGAAATATAGTTGATTTATATCAGAGCATTGTGTGAATACTAGATTCCAGTTTATTGTTGAGAAATGTGCATTAATTATTTCATAGTTAGCTTTACGAAAATTTGGATATGTATAATTATTATCTTGGTAATTGTTAGTAGAAGATATTTCAAATTCTATTGTATTATGGTCAGATTTACTTATAGGCGGATTGATTGTTATAGCCTTTATTAATTCATCCTCATTAGTTAATAGTAAGTCTAATATATTTACTCCTCTAGTGGGTTTATCAATTTTTTGTTTTAGTCCTAAACTTTGAATATATTCTAAAAATAATGTTTCTTTGGTATTTTTGGTTTGAGTACTATAATTTTCCCAATCGATATTGGGTAGGTTAAAGTCTCCTAATAAGATAAGTGGGTAGGATACAGCCGATATATCATACAAGATTTGCAAGATAGATTTAAAATCCTTAATGGTTTCTTTAGTGATTGATCTATAAATCAAAATAATACGAATTTTTTCATCTGGGGTTAATAAATCTATACAAGATATCTCTGATAAAGTTTGGGGGATTTCTATTTTAATAAATGGTATTTTATTTGATATAAATAAGCAAGTTCCTCCACCCCTACCATTGGCCCTATCAGTTCTGATAATATTATATGGGGTACCATGTAGTAAAAGATTATCATCAACTATATCAGTCAACCATGATTCAGTAACCCCTATTAACTTATAACGGTTTTCTAATAACAGAAAGTGTAAATTTGACAATTTGTTTTTTAAACTTCTTGAATTAAAATATAAAAAATTAATAGTATTTAATCTATTTAGATTATTTTTTTGAAGTCAGATTTTTTTATTTTTTCTAAAAATGTGAACCTCCGATCTTAGAATTACTGCTTCTCCATAAACTATCCAGTCCAATTGAGGGTTCTCCATTCTCTTCTTTTTGCACTCTTCAATTAGTTCCCTTCGTCGCTGTAATTGTTCTGGTGTCATTGAGGCACGCATATTGACTTGGGGGAAAGATTTCTTGCCATTTGTTTTCCATTTGTTGAGAAGTTCACGCTGAAATTTTCTGGATGGTAAAACAATCTTTAAAAGACGGGCATGACCATTATTGGGTGGGTTAGACTGACGTCCCATACGGTAAAAAAACCTGGGTGCGCACTCAACCCCCACCGAGTCGAGTAAACTTGTTATTGTTTTGGAGTCATCCGCCATTTTCTCTGATGGAAGTTTTTTTGTAGATTCCGTCAAACCAGTCACAACAACACTTCTTTCGCGCTCTAGCTCCTCTGCTGAAATAGTGTTTAATTTTGTTGTTCCTGAAAAATATCCATAAGGTTTTTCTTGTTGTTTTTCTTTAAGTGAATCGATTGATTTACTAAGAAGGTTAAATTGTTCAGTCAGAGTTTTAATAAAGTTTAATAAAATCGGAGTTTGCTCTGTTGTCATAGACGGAATAAAAGTATTGATTGTTGTTA